AAAAAAAAAAAAAAAAAAAAAAAAATGCAAGAAATTTTGTGATAACACAAAGATAATCATACGATATGGAAAAGACGATTGGTTGCAGCGTTTTGATTGACTGAATAAAGTGAACTTTTCGCTGGTTACTGGGGATATAGACTATCAACAATCAAAGTTAATAATACGTTAATTAAATTAGAAGAATTTGCTATTTCAGTACTGAACGCTACCTCCTTACAGAAGATTTCTTGTGCTTCTTATTTACAAGTGTAGCAAACAGTGCAGATTTTATGTCCATCAAAGACCTGTTAAAAACCAGTGATATTTCATTCTGTCTGAATGCCAATTTATTTCATAAGTGAATTGCCACGAATTGCGCAATTCTGTGCTCAGGTATGCAATATTACAGCAAACAAAACAATCCTAAATATACAGCTACATAAATAGAGATAAAATGTGAAGACCTAAGCTGAGGAAGATATTTAAATCTCTGCAACTTTCCATTAAAATACTAACTAGTAGTTAATAATCATGATTGAAACATATCTTAATAACTTGCTGAAGATACACAATAGCTCATCATATTACATTCACATGAAAAAAGCACACTCCTTTTCAAGAAAAGTGCTAAAACATTTCAGTGCTAAAACACACTACATGTACCATAATGATATACAGTACATAAAGCTGCACGTCGGCACTGAAGAAAAGTCAAAGTCGATCCTTTTTGGTGCAATTCCTCTGTGTAATCCACCTAATAAAGTTAAGTTAACCATAGACATCAAATAAATCTCCACTGTTCCCTGATCTTAAAAAAAGATCCATCACTGGACATAGCCCAAAATATACTTCCAAAAACAGGGGTTTCTCTGCTGCCTATGATGAATGTAGCCTAATAAGATGCCCACAGTGAAGAGGAGAACTGAGAAGAGCCGACTGATCTTCTTTGTGAACACAACTTAAAGAAAGACTCTTAAAACTACCTTGGTGTTTCCCCTTCATGTTTCAAATATTTTTAAATCTATGCAGAGAGTTATTAAAATCTATAACGAGAGATATACCCATGCAACACTGCATGAAAAAACACAGCTTTTATAAAAATTAAGTTTAGAAGGGAAGCTGAAATGAAAATGTACAGTATCAAACAAGGAAATGTATAGGTAAATTAATGAACAAAACTCATGGCAGATGATAAAAAGTAGAGCGAAATATGTATCCAGATTAAGGTCATATGACACAACAAACTAGGGGTAAACATACGTGGGTTTCTATTTTACCAGTTACCTTCAACGTGTCATATAATCACTTAATGAAAAAATCTTAGTTGGCTCAGTTAATCAAATCCTGACCTGGTTTGTGATTAATAAAACATAAACAGTACATATCAGTACATACAGCAAAGCTATTAAAACTTTTAGCATATCTGTTGACATTTCTGCATGTTCAAATGCAACATTAAAACAAGCTGTTGTGTGACCAAATTCTTTCACTTAAACTTTCATAAAATGACCACACAGTGCAAATATTGCCAAACTGCCCCCTCCCCCACACAGTATTATAATGGTATTGTAGAATTCATGTTCATACATGCCACTAAGCTACTGACAACTTTCTTTCATATTAAACCAGCTGACCATTTCACTTTTATACACAATGTTTTCCCCTTTTTGAATGAAGTTATTTATTTACCAATAAAAAATGGCAGCAGAGAACATGAAGGTGACTCTGTATTGCTTTTATCTGACACGTCTTCAACAGAATTTCAAAATAAATGAGTCAAGGAAAGTTGAAACAAATTATGTTTAATTACACTGATAAAAATGAAACCTTGAAACCAATATTTTTTTCAGATTTGCAAATAATCAGATGCAACTCGAATGACTTAATTTTTTCACATACAAGAGAAGTCTTTGGCCAGTTATCCCCACCACACATCCCAATCATCTTCCCACTTCTCTTCACACCAGCTGCTGCCCATACCACAGTATGGTTTAANCAAGACCCTTTTTTGCAGTTGTAATGGGTTTGCCACTTGTACAAGATGCTTTCACAACCAGCAATTGTTTCTTTATTTAATTTTTTCCTAATATAACCTTTCCACCAGTGCAACTGACAAGTTAACCAGGACCTTTTCTCTGCCCCATGATGCTCTTGAAAATGTTCCTGCAAATTTTCCAACTTTTTCAAAATATCCTTTGCACCATCTTTTCCCATTTGCCTTATTTTCTTGTTATTCAACTTCCTGATAGTCCCTTGAATTTTTTCCATATGCTTCTGAATTTTTCGTTCTCTTGGTCTAAATTTCTGCTGATGCATCTTACGGCAGTGCTTACCACGGCAGTGTGGTTGATGAATTTTATCATGGTCACCATTTTTGTGTAGTTTTCCTCCATGTCCTTTTCTTTTCTTATGTAATTTAACTCTATTTTCTTTTCTTTTCTTATATTTGTCTAGCTTCCTATCATCTCCTTTCAATTTTCTCGGTGGTCTAGATTCTTTATGTTTAACATGATGGCTTTTCTTCTTTTCCTTTTTCTTTTTATCTTTTTCCCTGCTATTTTTCTCCTTTTCCTTTCTGGTGTGTCTCCCTTCCCAATATTTATTTACTGTGTCAGCGACTCTTTTCACACTGTCCTGAACACTTGTTTTGACTTCATTATATGTAGACTGGTGATTCTGTACAAGCTGGCTTGACATGTTTCGCAGCCGCTCCCATGTACTGTGTAACCTCTCTGTGACACTTGCCACTGTGTCCTTGGACTTGTTAACATAGGTACGCAAGGTAACAGAGTCCATTAGATTAGATACCTTTTTCTTGAAACTTTCAGTGAAATCGTTAATTGAATCTTTCGTTCCATTCACTAAAGACGAAAATTCATCTGATCTAACATAAAGATTAAGCTCCTCAAATTTCTGTTTTAAAGTGTCCTTGGCATCTTCAAAAGTGGTTTTTGCAGCTTTCACATATTCCTGGAACTCTTGTGATTCTGTGAAACTGTCTATCTGAGCCCAGGCATCCTGGACACTTTTAGAACTGATGTTTTGGAGCATGTATAATTTTTCACCAAATGCACTGGTCAAGTTCTTGACAACTGGATCGGACCAGTTGACCCTTAAATGAGACATAAGGATGCTGATGCATGTGAATAAACCAGCAGTGTTACCGGTGCTGTTGTTGTTGTTGTTGTTATCACCATCATGGACAACATCCTGCTGTAACTTCTCTCTTAACTGCTTCTCTTGAATGTAGAACTCGCGCCACATGGCTGCACGACTTTTTGCTGCAAATTGCTTGGCCTTAATTTCATCAAGTTTTGTCCTCAAGTTTTCCATCAGATGATCTCCAGTTGTTTCCTGCATTTCTTCTTCATTGGAGACTGTTTCCGGGTCAGTACTAGATTCTATAATGGTAAAAATAAAATTTACAAAGCAAATTAAAAAAAAAAAGTTGTACTGAATGTATATATACCTAAAAACTAAAAATAAATTATGTAAGTACTTAACTTCTCCAATTACAGCTACGGCTGTGAAAATAGCCAAGTTGTGTCTATTCAAAAATATCTAGTGTTTTTCAATCTGAGAAAAAGGCTGGCACATATGTATAACTTTTAGTATTAAATCTCTATGTGTTTTAACAACAGGACATTAAGAGTCTTCATAAAAATGTCACATTGCAATTTATCTAAATTCTACTGATTTGTTTGTAATGATGCCTTAAAGTGTACCTTAAAGTTATGCTGACAGAGTTAACTTACCTCCATTAGCAGGATGGTATGTATACCTAAGCCTGCCTAGCTGCATTTTCAATCCTTCATTTTCAGTTTGGAGGATGTTAATTCTATTCTTGAGAGGCTCTAGTTCATACTGGAACTTAAAAATAAATACAAACAATAATAATAATAATATAATTTTTAATGATAAACTAAAAAATAACAAGTCCTACAGTCAAAAGAGTCCGATCAATTAAAAGATGTGTAGGAAAAAAAGTCTCATGTCAGGTGTCATGAAAAACCTGCATAGATATGTATATTTCTTATCCTACCTTTGTGTCCATGGTGTCTTCCTTTTCTTTCTGTTTGACTTCAAGATCGTGTAACTTTTCTGCAAGGGTGGTAATCTGACTCTGATAACTTTCAAGGAGACTGCTTGCCTGGCTCTCAGCCTCTTTCAAATGCTGAGCTTCGTCATTACTGGCTAGGTATTTACTCATCAATGATGCATATTCTGATTTCGTGGCCTTCTGGTTTTTCTCCAGACTATCAAGCTTAGTTGTCAAAGTACCAATCTCAGTCTATTGCAAAAATAAAGACATAAATTATAAGATGTACAGTTGATGGCATACCGTTATGTCATTAACTTTTAATAAACTAGATATCATAATTATGTTCAAATATGTGCAACTTACTGCCGGGAAATATAAAAGCAAATTTGTTATCATTAATTAAAATGATAAGAATAATGGTCAAAATCAAATTGAGGAAAAAGGATATTTATTTTTATGAATTTATTTTGATTTTTTTAATATGCCAATAAGGTCATGAACTGTGCCAGATGAATCAATGGAACCTGATGTTAGATTGTTGACATACAGAAAGCATATTTAAGTCTTTTTCTAGATTTAAAATCACAAACTGCCCATTTCATTGGTGGCAATCATTTTTTCTCTTTATCATCAGTAACAAAGTGAACCGCCATAAATCAATTCATGTCTATTTATTCACCTTACTACTTCTACTTCAATCACTACCCATTGTTTAGCAGTAAAAAACAAACTTCTGTTTTCATGCCATACCTGGTAATCTTCCAAATTTTGGTCTTTAATCCTATCTATTGACTGACGATACTCAAGTTCTTGTAATGTAGACTCGTAACGCACTTCAAGTAATTCGTATTCTTCCTGGCTTGCCTTCTGGTTGGTTTCCAGCTCTTGCATCTGACACAGAAAGAAATATTGCAAATAAAACACTTGAATTTTTTCAAATCCTGGAGCAACTGTATGGACAAACAAGCAATCATGAAGAAAATATGTGTTCAATGTATACTAAATTTTATTCATAGAAATCACTATTAAATAAAATGGCTGACTGATAATCAAGTTAAATGTGGTGGGAATAAAGTACCAGTTTCAAATTGGTGCTATTTACTTAAATGTCAAGACTTGAGAATGGTTCATGCTGTATGTTAAGTTTTTTTATAATCAGGAAATACTCAAATACCTTTGCTTGCAGAGTTGCAATTTTCTCCAGGTAAGCCTTCTGTTGTGCATCAGACACAGACTGCTGCTTAAAAGAGTCAAACTCTTCCACAGTTGTCTGTAGTTTCTTCTGCAAGTCTTTAAATTCAGCTTTAAGCATCTGGTTTTCTTCATCCAATATCATCAGCTACAAGAAAAAACCAATTGTTACCCCTCATTTGTAATAAGTCATAATCATTATTGTCAAATAAAAATAAAACATAACCATTTTGTAAACATTTATAACCCCACTTCTCATCCACCTTTTAAGATCAACTGCCTCGAGCTCTATCATATCATTTAATACCTAGAACCTGACTATAGTCACTATCTTCTATAGTCCAACGGAATAGCTGGCTACCCACCTGCTGCTTGGTTTGGTCAGCTTCCTGTACCTGCCTTTGTAACTCCAATTTGTCAGTTGTTAATTCTTTAAATTCAGTTCTCCATGTTTTCTTTTCTTCTCTCAGTCTTTTTTCATGCTGTATAAAACAATAGATGTAAACATCTCTGCGTCAAAAAAGTCAAATGTAATTCATGAAAACACACTGCCCTAGTACTTCTCTTCAAAATTTGCATATTTAAACAAAATGTTTTCTTGATCCCCAAAACTAAGGATAAAAGACTGAACAATTCACCCAAAACTGCTTTTCTCTTTCCATACATTAAAAATAAAAATAATACATTATTATCAAGTCACCTGTTTTCTGGCACTTTCTAAGTCCCTAATTTGGTCTTGCAGGTCATCTATGTTGACCAGGGTGTCCCTGTACTTGGTCTTCCACAGTTCTGTCTCTTCCTTCATCATGCTGTTGTCCTGTAAATACAATAAACAACTTCAGAACAAATATTATATATCAAACAGATAAATGTTACAAGGCCAAATTACAAATACATATCAGGATACATCATGCCATAGTCTTACCATGTCACCATTTATTGAAATTTAGAACCCATATAAAAGGCAGGTGAAAGAACTTGTGAAGCATTTAAAAGCACTCGGTTTCATCCTCAATATTGTCTGATAAGACAAGGGAAGAATCAATTGAGTTCAGAAAAAGCACCTGCTCTTTGAAATTAAGGGCTTCAGTCCTGCATTATCTCCCACTGCAGCATATCTCATGTTACTGAGCAACAAACAGTATACTCCATGCAGGCTAAACCTCTATAATGTACTGTAGCCAGAACTGCTACATTCAATGAAGTATCATGGGTTATGATAAAACAAAATCAGGTAATAAAATGTTGCTTACTGAAGTAAGTTCAGCAATATGATCATCCAAAGCTTCATTTTTGTTCCAACAACCAAGCAGGTCATCCTGTAAGTCCTTCATCCTCTCTACCTGGTTTTCTCTCAGTTGGTTTTGGAGGTAAGATTCTCTTGCAGAACCTAACAGAGTAAATTGAAAGCATTCAACACTTTTTGACAATCCATTTTAAGTAGACTTTTGGATTAGAATGCCATTATACCTACTCTTGCACCAACACATATACATATTATGTATATATATATATGTAACCACATGTATAAGAAAGTAATGAACAGAAATGTTTCACTTTTGTATTCTAATTAACATACAGGTAATTGCATGAATATGTTTGCGAAATGTTGGTACTCACTTTTTCTAACGCAAAACAACCTGTACACAGGTTTCAAAGGTAATAACTAGCCACTTACCAATAGAATGCCCTATGCCTAATCCAACTGCAGCTGTAACAACTGCTAGCATCACCAAGTTCAAGATTGAATTCAGGTCATTATTGGGCCGATGGCGATACTGTCTGATGATGTTAGCATTGGCGACAGGAACAATATCCATAGCACTTACATCAGAGCCCTCTGAAGCTGAGATATCAGATTCACAGCGATCATCCACACCAGGAAGGGGTTCAAACTCTGAAGGAAGGGGAAAAACAACAACATGTGTTAGTATTGGCAGCATGCTTTGGCAGTTATCAGAACAGGTTCCACACATTGACAAATACATGTCTGAAAACTTCACACACATATTTTCTTAATATGATAAAAGAACACCAGACATGCTTTAGGTAGGAGTGAGCACACTTGTGTCAAAGCAGCACATGCATGATAACAAAACCACGAGAAGATATATTTCATTATGATGGTTTACTTTCCAGATTATGATATGATTTGCATTTCACTTTGCTTGTTTCCTTTTTTCTTACAAACCTAAATAATATTGTAAAATGTGAGGTATGAAAGCATCAGTTTCCAGAAAACTATTTCACAGGTTTTTTACATAGAAAAGGGTATCCAACTTTTTAAGTATTATGGTAATCCCGTTGAGAATTGGAAAGCACATACAAGAAAGATAAGTGTTCTTTCAGGTTTAATAAATATTGCAGTTAAATTTGCCATATTCATTTTCTTAAATGGTTCTGAATTTTGAAGCTGTGCAGAAAGACAACTGTGCCAAACCTTGTAAGCAAAATCATTTATATTGCTCTATTTTTGACTTAACATGTGTGAAAAATACGTCAAAGTGTGTTTAAAAAGAGTGTCCATATCACATTCAATCTTTTTATTCCCCATGCTCAAACATTACTTGTTTAATTTCTTGTTTAAAAGGGGGAATTGAAGAGTTTTCAAGTGTGGTAAGGACATATGGTATAAATATGTTGTGAAACCAATGGTGGATCTAGGGTTTACCTCCTCTTCCCTTCTTATATTAACAATAAAAAGAGCAAAACCAGCCAAAATCAAACAATTATTATTTCGTAAAGGCCCTACATTCTAGTATAAAAAAAACTCATCTATTGTTAAGATTTTTGTCAAGCAAAATGAGACTTTTTATCCCAATGCTCCCCTTCGCAAAAACCTGGATCCACCAGTGATTACATATCCACACACCAGTTATTGTTCAGATTCACCACATGAAGTGTCCCAAAAGGTTGCTCAAACTGGAGATAGAAACATATGCTAACTCTGACAACAAAAATAAACAATTATTTATGCAAAGACACTGATAAAATGCAGATGGGCCACTTTTCTGAAAAGGAAAAACTCTGTGAATGAAAAAATTAATTTGAGTGTCACACCTGACATTGGGATACACTGCCCCTTTAATGGATACATCTGTTTTAAATCATTTTATAACTTTACCATTTAAAATAGTTGAAATTATACTATAATAATCAAACAATAAAATAAAATGAACATAATACAACTTGTCTACAAATGAAAATAACATTATATTTACCTTCATCTTGATGTCTCACTTCTCTTCTTTCAACTGCCTCCCACCAACGCGGATTAAAGAAACTGAAGTTAGAAGCGACACTGGAACTGCTGGTATGCATTTGTTGTTGTTGCTGATCTTCCACAGCTGCTGTTGCTGGATCAATACGGACAAAGTCGGAGGCATCGGAGTCTGTGGCACATGAGGAACTGTGTGCTCTGCCTGAACCTTCAGATGCCATCATCAATTTCACCCTGGAATCATCCACTGTGCTTGAAATCCCTTACTGTTCAGGCAAGTTATGTGCATAAGAACTTTATAGGGAAAAAAGGGAATATCTTTCAAGAAATTTGAACTTATCACCTCAGTATGCCCTAACCAAAAGCCTTGAGTTGATTGCAGTTTTGAGGATCTCATGTTCATGGTATCACTTTAAACTCTAGAATGGCAATGCTTTCCACGCACCAAAATTTAGTGTTTCAATATTTGATATCATATGAAAAGCTAAATATATGCATGTATTGTATAGTTTTCTTTAAAGCTATTCTTCCAAACTTGTAACAAGGCAGCAAAGCTGNCGGTACTGTCAGATTTTAGCATAAACAGAGAAAATTGCAGCAGCGCATGAATCTAGATGAGATGCACTACTTTCCAACCCCGCTTAGGATCATTGCTATCACATCGCGCACCAGGCAAAATCGGTGTGGTGGCTGATACTCTGTAATGCGATCTGACACACACCTTGAAAACGGGTAGTGTGGTCTGATAAACCGGTTTATACTGGACCCGTAGGTGCCGAGTCTGGTAGTTGGGAAGGCCTGAAAATGATGAATAAATAAATTAACAACCAATGCTCACTGAACTTACTTTAGAAGTTCAATGACAGCATCTGCTTCTTTGCTACTGTGAGGTCGGTGCAGTATATCTTCAGCAAACTCTGCAACATGTTTTTCATCTTCTACATTGCCTCTAGCTTGCTCACTTTCTTCCACAGCATGATCTTTTATTGGAAACAACAACTCAAAGCCAGATCCCACTGAGTCTCTCTCTGGGGGTAACAGATCTGCCTGTGAAGCATTTTCAGGGGGTGTTTTGAAGTCCTGTGAGGCAGAAGCAGGGGGTGCAAGATCTCTGACCACTTCTTGTGGGACTGGCTCAGAGCAAGCTGCATTTGGGACCAACTCTAGTGTGTCAGTTTCTGGCAATATTGGAGCTGAGACAGCCCCCTGGGATGCCTCACGGGACACAATTGGGTCATGTGTCTCGGTTTCTGATTTATTGTCATCTTGTTTGCTTTCATCTGAATCATTTACTTCTGGGGTGCCTAAACCTGGTGTTATCTCATTCTGCACATCACATCCTAAAAAGAAGAGTGATCTTAGCAATATTTTGTTTTTTAAAACCATGTTGAGATAGGCCCTAGGCCCTAGACCAGGTTCAGTTTAAATGACATCACCAGATTATTAGGGGAACACCATACTAGTACCTGTTTTCCAGCAATCCTTCATTTATTATTCCTTATTTAGTGAGGATTGCTGTGCATCCTCCTTAGCACAGCTGCGTTTTGATCAATTAGCTACAGTTAACAGGTGTTGTTACCACAACAAAAACCACATTTAGATCAGTCATGACTAAAAGAACATTTCAGACAGTAACCTTTCTTATAACAACCCCTGACTATATTATTAACAACAATGAAAGCAAAATGTTTTTTTTTTTTGGCTTTAATTCAAAATTATAAAGGTTACATATTACCTTCAGTTCTGTCATCTTCATTGTCTAAACTGTCTACATCAGAGTCTGTATCATCACGACGTTTGTGGTATGAAACTATTTGTTGGTCTACCTTCACAAAGTCACTAGAACTGCTACTATCACTCTACATAAACAAAAAAAATTGTCATAAGTTATAAGTTTGAATGATTCTTACTGTTTTACCTTTGTCTGTCTGTCTAAATACATTTTAAAGTGCTACTTATTTAATGCAGATTATTAATCAATCTCAAGTCACACTCTCTCTGTGAATGTTGATGAGATTTGTCATAAAATACCTTTGCAACTTAAATATCATCTACTGAATGTCAAGCACTGAATTCTCAGAATATGTGAATGTCTTATACATCTTGAGAGGTGAATCATCACATGATTGTGATATATTTAGAAGAACCTTATTTTCATCTGCTGTACATATAGTATATATCTTATATCCGGAAACATAAGATAAATGGTCTCAACATGCAATCTCGCAACTTTTTAGACATGTAGTTATTTTTCTTCCTGCTATACAGGAGCAGCATCCAACAATAGCTTCTCTGTTGTGTACAGTATGTGCTGTTTTAATATGGTATCCATGCTCAACATGTACCTGTACTTGTAGATCAATAACCTGGCAACTGAAAACAGTTTGGATCCTAAGATGTAATAAAAAAATAACCAGAAGATCAACACAGCTCTTTGTTGAAGAAGGATCTGTTATTTGCTTTGTCAACCTTAAAAAGTTAACTGAGTGTGTACATATGTGTGTAAACATGCTTACCTCTACTAAACCCTGATCAGTAACAAGTGTCCAGCTGGACAAACTGTCCTGGTCACTCCCAGGATGGTCAGACATCTTACATCATAAACGGCTACTGGATATCAGATAGCTATCTGAAATGTCCATTTCATCATGTTAAATATCACACTTCCACACTTTCAATAGTTCACAATTAGATTTTAAGGATTTTTGGCAACATAATGAAGTTTAGAAAACATTCACATCTATTACTTTTATATTCTGCTGTAACCTTAATTAGTCAGTGCAACTAAAGCCCACATTTAAACAACCCTTAAAATACTTAGCTTGGCTTCAAATGTACAAAAATACAGTTTGTGTTTAATAACTAGGACAATCTTTATATTTGTAAATATTGCCTATAGTAAATATTACCATATCAATTTGAAATCATTAAGCAATTTATCTCTTTCTTTTTGAATTATTGTATATACTGTTTTAGATTTATTGTGGTATTGAAATCTGATACCATCAAAATCCAAACCATTAACTTGGATATTAGCTAGACACATGTCATTCAGGCCAATTCATAACTTGACTGTTTTAAATACAGATGCAGAGAATATAATTATACAGATTCTATGAAGTTCCAATAGCCAGGGTGTTTATTAGTGGTTGGAGTAACACAAGAGTTAGTTTCTTGCTTGCAGCTGTGTCCAAAAACTCTTATGTCCAGTAGTACTCTTTATTCAAAAGTTTTCTTGAAGTGTTCTTGGTGTTCTGTTCATTATTGACTTTAACTTCTTTTACAAGTGTATTGTAGAGATTGCCATCTCAAATTAATCACATACAGTGAAGTGAAGCTGATCTACTAATGGCTTCCAAATAGGTACACTAACAAACAAAAATGCATTTTGGCAAGTTTGTGAATTATTTAACGATGTTTATCCTTAATGGAAGTGAACCTTTGCTAATAAAATATAATGAAGGTATAAGATATGGTTATTTCTGGATGTCAAATATATCAGATAAAAGATGTCTCTGTTTATGAAATTAAGTTATATCATTTAGTCTAATATAAATAATGATAACATATTTAACAATATGTTTCTACAACAATCAAGTGGAATTTACAGTTATTTTCAATCAAAATTATAAATATAAAACAAGAATTTGGTGATAATACAATCTTCTAACACAGACCCCTAAATGGTTGTGGCAACCATTTTTAACTTTGAAATTGAAGTAAAGAAATTATCAACATGTTGATAATATTACACAGCACATTTCCTCATTAATTTGTATCAACTTTTTTTGCCACATAAGACACCTATAATATTTATATATACATGTAAATACAAATAAACGGATTCAGCTACCCTGCACAAAATGAAGAGTTCAGCCCAAAAAATTGCCACAAGTTTGCAGCAATACATTATTGCTACAAATTTACTGCAAATTTGCAGCAGGCCTGATATTTAGCTAAGGGTAAACATGTACCTTATCACAACAAAAACCGTTATCAATCCTATTTTTACTATGTCTGTCCATTGGCAAGCCTCTGTGCTGAGTGTTGGCAAGTGTCCAATGCTACGTCACACTAAAGTTATTATTGTGCTATCTCTACAATATCATCTCAAATATAATGCAATTTTGTCGAACTATTGCTGATGTTTAAACAAGTCAAGTGTATTGACATAGAGTTGTCCACAAAGCTTGCGTTAACTTTAATGCACATTACCACACTACACATTGCAGCCAGGCCTAGTGCAGCGCTACGGCGAGCGTCGACATGTTATCTTAAATAGAACACAGTAGAAGTAATTAAATCAGACTGTCAGCACTACAGTGATACAGATACTTTTAAAATGTACAAAATCTTAGGCATGTTAAAAAGGCTCAAAAACAAACATCTTACCACCAGCTACTCGAAAGTGCTTCTGTTTTTAATTGTTTTCATTTTTCTCCGCGCCCATACAAAGTCGCGAATGAATAATTTTGTTTATTTGTTGTAAAGTACGAGTCCATATATATACATAAAAGATATCACAAAAAAGATGATAACTTTACGAATATAAAATTCATTTTTAATGTACATGTTGAGCACTTTGAAACTGTTATTTTTTGTAATATTATGTCAATTGTTTTACGAAACTATTTTATTATAAAGTCAATTCAGCTGCATGTTAACCAACTACGTCAGCAATAAGAAATCACATGACTGGTCATGTGATATGCCTTTCCTTATGTGGTATTTTTGTTGAGTCCTAAACAACATGGCTGAGTGTGACGATCTCCCACTTGTCATTCCGGTATTTATATAACGTAGCTCTTTTTTCATTCATAGAGTAATAATCCTAATAGCACGTGATATGTATTTTGTTTGATACCCTTGTGTATCATGATCCTGGTGACCAGAAATGTTACGAATAATACTCGAGTCTTAGTTCCAAATCTCCTTTTGGTCTTTTACATGTATCATCACTATCACGTAAAATTTATCATGTTTACTAGTACATTTCTTTGAAAAATATTGTTGCATTATTTAACATTAGAAAAGTATATTTAATTGTCTAAGCAGAAATGTGTTGTCCTTACGTCTAAATTTAGCAATTAAATATGTTAATATGATAATGATGTATACTAGTATTAGGCTTCGTTCACATGCAATGTCTATTTTCTAAATTCCATTTTTTATTCGCGGCATGAGTTGTGATCACGGTCTGTGCCCTGAATATCCCGCGGCGTAATTACTGGCAGCGCGAGCCAGTTACTATAAGTTACTATAAGTAACTGGC